TAATATTGGGACGTGTAAAAGCGCTTTTTTAAAGCCTATTTGCAAAAATAAATGAATTTTATGAATTTTATGAATTTTATTTTATTTTACTTGCTTGATTAATAAATAAAAAGAATATAATTAACGGACGAAAAGTTATTTTTTAGGAAATTAGCCTTAGAACCACATGCTTAAAACAGGCTTATTTTTCTTGGAAAACTACTCAACTCCCGAAGGGTGCGTGATCAAATCTATCCTTGAACAATTTGATACACACGAGTAATTTAAACTTAAACTATAGCAATTTCCACAAGTGGAAAGGATGATGGGCACTTTTCTATGGAATCTGGGCGTAAAACCAACAGAAATTTAACTACTATCATTTGTTAGGACTTAGTATGAGAAATATATTTTCATATAATTAACTACCAAAAACTCCCGGGTTTGCTTGGAAATTGACACAATGTATAATAGTCATAGGTGTTTTATTGCGCAAACAAAAAATATTATTAATTAATATACCTACATTGATACATTAAGTTATTTATCAATTATTATGTCCAACAGTTAAGGAGTGGGGCCAACAAATGGTATAAAATAAGTACCATGTTCTACATTACCTGCGTACTACTCGTAGGTACCATTTAGAGAAATAAAATGAACACAGTCATGTTTCAATGGGATTTCTACCAGTTAAGCTGTAGTGTTGTCGCATAATCGATCACGGATCGATTGTTAATCGATATTGCCAAATAACGATTTTATCGATTAACAATTCGATTAATCGATTTTATTGATTACCATCATCACTATCATTTGATTGTTAGTTTGATTCCTTATTTTAAGCATTATAGTCGATTATTGCAATCTAATAATCGATTGTGATTTATTCGGTATACTTACATACTTAATCGATAGTAAGATATGATACAATACTATCAATATGATCGATACAAGCAACTAATTGACCTAATACTATTTTTATAACCCTAGTGTGATGTGAAATACTATGGAAACTTTGCATATTCAATGACCTCTATCTCCGTATCCCCGCGTATTTCAGGATTGTTGTCATACTATGAAATAAAGTACTAGTATTAAGCTTTAATTTAGTACACTTTTTGTTTCTGTTGGTTTAACGCCCAATATGCCCATCATCCTTTAATATTGTATTTTATCAATGGTATCAGTTACGTATTCTTTGCACGTCTAGAAGAGATAATCAAAGTCATCTTTTCAAAAGAACTTGTCATTATTCTTGTAATCTTTGTTCGACGGAATTTATCTGCTCGTGTATCTACACATTACACATGTTGATTGATTATATTGGATGCCACACATATCCGATTCTATATGAGATAGGTAGTATGTCCGAATCGGAAACAACGACCGAATAATTAGTCTTTCGATTGGCGATCGCCTCGCTCATAATTTGACAAATATATCACCCGACCCTAACTCTTTCCTCATCTCTTGGTTGTAATTGGAAAAAAATCGAATAAATCTACATTTATGTTGGTAGGTAGACTTATGTACGTGAATGAATAAACATGTAGATCTTTTGTTTGTTGGTATGTTTAACTCTTTCTTACCAATTTTCAGAACTAGGTATAGTTTTGAAATGTAAGTACTATTGAAATATTGAAAACATTATTTTTAAAGTTTAGTTTTTAAGTAAAAGTTTTTTGTAATGTATTATAATTTTTTTTATTGAATAAATTATAATACTTTTCGTATTCACCATCAACTTAAGAAAAAAAAGCCAGACCCTTATTTCGGTTTCCACTCATAACGACGTGGGTGCCGGCATTTCCACAACGCTCCAAACAAGTGAGCGGAGAATAACAAGGGACGAACGCAATGTTATTTGGTGATTTCTACGATCGGAATGGAGCGAACCATCGAAAACTGTGCCACAGACTAGGGAAACGAAAACTGCGGAAATAGCTTGTCTTTCGCAATAAAACTTTAGGTTCATTGTGGTTTTGCTATTTTCTCTACAAAATTTGCAATAATAAAGCTCTATACAACTTGAAAAGATTGTAGTTCTTTTATGTAATTTGACATCTGTGTATCTACCTATTCAGTTTTACATACATTAACTAGATATTACAAACGTCAGAAGTTAGTCGAACTCCATTTAAAAAACACCAATTGACGCTATAGTTATGGTTAAAGTAAAATGGTGCAACTAACTCAGCCTTAGCCTTTAGTGGTTTTAAATGGGAGTTAGTACCGGAAAATAAGTCTAGCTAAGGGTATCCTTCCGTTTGGCCAAATTACTTTTCGCCAAATTTCACTTCGCAAACAACTTATCGCCAAAGTTTCATTTCCCAAATGAACTTTTAGCAACTGTACTTTTCGCAACTAATTCATTTGGTCAAATTATCATTTGGCCAAATTTTACTTGGCAAATGTTTATTTAGCAAATGTTTTATGTTGCCAAATATTATATCCCAAATAATTTGTTTGGTCAAATTGACACTTCACATACTTACCCACCGTTACCCACAAATCAAAGCATAAGGCACATGATCATGGTTTTCACAATAATTTTATGTAAAACATTGCAGAAAATAGTATGGTTGCAAAAAGTAGGTATTGCAGAAAATAGTAGGTTAGGTTAGGTTAGAACAGTGACCCTTAATGCGCGAAGGCGAGCGAAGCGTGCCGCGGCAGCGGCCGCCGAGCGCTAGAATCACCTCTATTGTTAATGAATCAAAATGGAAATTTCGATACAAAGAATGAAATAAGGTAATTAATGTAGAACAAATTTTATATTAACTCCCCACTAAACAAAATAATAACCACAAGCTAATTTGTATACCATTCTATGCACCAATCAAATTATTTTGTAAATAGTTGAAATATTTTTGCCTAATGAAACGTTTGGCAAACCATACTTTGCCAAACAATAATTTGCTAAACAATAATATGCCAAAAAAAACATTTGCGAATTAAAATTTTGCAATAAGTTGCTTTGCCAAATGAGAATTTGCCAAATAAAAGTTTGCGAAACGTTGTTTGCGATGAGATAATTTGGGAAACGTTTTTTGGCCAAACATTAGTAATCCCTAGCTAAGCCATACAATGATGTGACAGTGTATATCGTATCGTAATTAAGTACGGAAAATCGACTTAAGTGCTGCCACGGGGAACGTGTTAATTTTCGTCACATACCAGTATTAAAATCACATGCGAGTAACTAAGCCTACGAGATAGCGCGACAATTTATGGTCTACAAACTTTACAATTAAGCAGCCTAGATATCAAGAAAGGAAAAAAATATGTTTGGCAAAATCTTTTCGTCAAATATATTTTAAACAAAAACTCTACGTCTGATATAGCGAAATCATAGTTTATACGGTATTAGAAGAAACTGTATTTCAAAGTGATACGTTTTCTAATTAAGTACTTACCAGCTTTCCGCCCGCGGCTTCGCCCGCGTGGAATTTTGTCTGTCACAGAAAACTTTATCGCGCGCGTCCCTGTTTCAAAAACCGGGACTCGAACAATCTCTATACCATATTTCATCAAAATCGGTTCAGCGGTTTAGGCGTGAATAGACAGTTAGCATTTATAATATTAGTATAGATTTAGCACTCGGCAATAGATATGATATGGGCCCTTAATTTAGTGTTTCTACTTTTGTTTTTCGATTTATCCGTTTCTAAAGAATAAATATTTAGACTTGTTAAAAAAACTAAGTTTGACATATCATAAGGTAAGTCAAACTTTATTATGACGACAAAATATAAAAATAAAATATACATCTAAGTATTTGCACTAAAGGTCTCCGCTCAGGTTTAACACACGGGAATGCGAAATTGATTGCGTTACGTGAATTAAATTTCTTACACGCGGGACTTAAGACTTGGAATTGTGGAGATTATTACAAGAGTACAGCAACAGAAGTCGGTTAAACCAGACCTGAGCAAAGTCAATTTGCAGAACCATATTGTAGTATAGATAAATGTAGATATTATGTTAGCTAAGGATTGTACGGTTTAAAAGACGAGCCATTTGGCTGATAAAGATTAATTTATAATTTTTTGCATTATATGTAAAAAGGAAGGGGTAAGTACATGAAAATGAGCATAGTGTTTTTTGAGCAAATTTTGATGATTCGTTTAATTTATATACGCACACTTTTCTTAACATATACCAATGTTATTTTCTAGTAGTAGGTACCTACGCAGTAAGACATTTCATGTGAAGTGCACCGTAGTTGATCGTCAGACAGCAATCAGTAGCAAACTGCTATGTTAAACTCAGCAGACTTAATCAAACCAAACCGTGCTCAGAAACAGTCTTGGAACACTCCTCAAAGTAAATGCAATAGCGTTTGAAACGAAGCAACATTTCTCCTTAGTGCTTAGGTATTCTCATTTTTTCATTTAATATGTTTAATGTTTCACTCTATGTTAATACATAAACGAACGGCGTGAAATAAATGTAAGTACCCCGTAAACTATGAACAATATTTACTACTCTTTGCGCACATCTTGCCTCATTTACATTTAAAGGCTAGATACCTAATCTACATATTTGCTTATGTTTTAACATTGTTTTATATTGAAACTGTTAGTATGCCAACTGGGCATAAACTATGCGTTTGTGTTTTGCGGTCATGAAAAAGTTGGAAAAACAGCTAATTTCAAGCCCAATTGCGGTTGTTGCCGCAACTTTTTAATAATGTCACGGGGTTAAACATTTAGGGATATTTCATACGTTTGTGTTTTATTTATATTCCTTTTAGTTTGGAAAAACAACGTTTAAAATTCTAGTTACCAAATTAGTTTTCACAAAATGCCACAACTGTAAACAGCATACCATCGATCATTTTAATTTGGCTTTTAGTTCAAATATTTACAGTGGTTTCGGGGTATTTTTTGAAAAAAGTTCCGGAAATTTTTCGTTGAACCGAATAATGATTCCGTTTTTCGTATCATCTGTTTACCTTAATGTTGGTTTGCAATCCGATAAGTGAGTGGGTAAACACAGTGGACACTTTAAAATACCTAGATGAAGGTAATCGAGTAAGTTTTCCGAGCGCGGGAGAGTTTGGCGCGGGATGAGACCGGCCAGTGTTCGCGGCCGCGGTAAGATGCGAACTGAGTCAGCGAGGCTCGCCGCCTCCAGGATACCATCTGGAAAGAGATTGCGCGCCCAATCTCTATCCCGCAAGTTTCTATGCCCGCTCTTGCGTTTAATTTTATTGCTGTTTTTGTTGCTCGTTAACAGCCCGCTGACAAATCACCCGCCGTTAGGAAAACTCGCAACAGTGCGCAACGGAAAAGCGGAAACCTTTTTCTGGATTTTACAAAATTAATAACTTGCTACTTTCATGTGCGGTTACTAGATAAAGTGCTGTTTGAAAGTTTGTTTTGAAAAATTACTTCATATTTTTTTTTGTCTACCAAGACTGAAGTTATAATATATCCCGAAGTAATCTTTGAGATTTTAATCTTTAAAAGTTTAGAAGCTGCAGATAGTAATTTTAATAATTTTTTTTACCTACTACAAAAGTACTACCAACAACAAACCTATTATGGCAGTTTACAAAAAATACTCTTAGATCGGTAGATTGTACATAATTTGAAAGGTTTATTTTTAAATATATTAATTACTTTTTAAGTACCCATTACGTTAAAAGTTAATAGTTTAAGGATTATTAAATTTACTCGTATTTATAGTACTTATCGTAAAAATGAAATGAATAAAACTTGTTTAATACCAGTAAATTAAACAAAATTTTAAACAGATATCTAGTGAGAAATCAGTTCCAAAGTAATCAACCAATCCATCAAAAATATGCAATAATAAAGGGCCCTAAAGACGGTTTATAAAGTTCATTAAATCTTTCATTTTATGTGTTACTTTTATTTCGTCACAAGAGCGCGAGCCATTTGTTACCTTACGATGTCCGAGGTCGAGTTCCGAACAAACGTGATAGAAACCCCGCAGTCCCTAAGGAAGCCTGGCCTACTTATACTAACGGCAAGTTAAACTAACACTGTGGCATCTTATGTAGCTGCAATAAAAGTGATTTTGCAATCAAAGTGTGTAGCCTGATGTGCTATTGTTCCTGAACGGTTGAAAAGACCCTGAAAAAACGTATCAGGAATTTTCTGACCTGTAAGTTAACGGAAAATATTATTCTTTCCAGAAGCAGTACTGCACTATAGAGGGGATGTTCAAAAGTTACTTTTTAAGTGATTTTTCATTCGTCCAACAATTAATTACGTATTTTAAAGTGGTAACACATAAAAAGTTAATGCCTGTGGTGTAGTTGTTACAAAATTGTACTCTCTTGACCCGGTCGCAGTTTTGATAATATGATTATGTACTTCAGAGGTTCGAAGGTCGTCATCATCGGTTGAGCCAAAAGTATATTACTAAAAGGTTGTGATCACAGTTGTCCTCCCGATAATGAGTAGATAGGTTGATTAAAAAGAATCATGATCATGAGTTAGAAAAAGTATTTAAGAAGTTCAACTATCTTAATCGTGAATAATTATCATAGCTGGTTGTTCACAGTCGTGCATTTCACTGGCGTTCGTGATACTCAGCTTTTGTCAGGACGTGGTTTTCATTTAATCTTTCAGCTTCACTGACCATGAGTTTTCCACTATGAGTATAATGTATCATTTAAGGGCCACAGCAGAGAAGCTACTTTTAGCGTCGGCGATCTGCGATTTTGCGATCTGTATTGATGCAGCATCGCTATTTCGCGACTTCATGCGTTCGGCGGACACGGTATCGGAATCGCGCGTTTAGGGATTGCTGTCACTGCGTTGAACTTCATTAAAGTGATTCAATCGCCGCGTTTGGTGTTTCTAAGTGAGCGACAGTGCAGTGGTCACTGCATCCAGCTTCTAAAAAGCGGCTAAATCGCCTGTTGCCGATGCTAAAAGTAGTATGTGCTGTAGCTCTAAATCGTAAATTAGCACTATTGAGCCATCTTGAAATGACATGCAATTAATTAAGACACCCTTAGCCTAGGCGCAGACCACCGACTTTTTGTCGGCCGACAGTTGGGTCGTGCTGTTAATCAGTATGGACATGTATGAAAGTTCGCACATTGGTAACGGCCGATTCTTCATACTTTAGAATTGGGCCCAACTATGCCCGATTAAAAATCTGTAGTCTGCGGGGAGTTTTAGGCTGGGTTGCACTATCTTTCAAGTCTGTCAAACTCCATACAAAAACACCTGTTACTTGGTTATAGTCACGGTTAAAATAAGGTGGTGCAACTCACCCTTAGTAAAGGCTAATTCATGCCAGCTTTTAGGCGATTATCACACCGCACCGCGCTCCGCCGCGGTCCGCGTGACGACATATGTATGTCACCGGAAAATAACAAGACTCGTAAGTTGATCAATTTTCTAGGTAGTTGATCAACTCTCGGAAAATAATAAACGGCAGTTGAAATGTACTATTTAACGCATTGAATTTTAGCTAATTGGTCAACTTACGGTACCTAGCCGTAATTTAATAATTAACTATATTGCTACAAGTAAAATCATCCACAAATGGACCAATCGTTGCCCAGTGTACTATTTGACGGTACACTATTATCCGTCACTTAATACACTTTTCTCTGATTGGTCGACAGCATTAATTATAAGCATTTAGCAAGTGTTTATTCATAGAGTTACAAACACTTAGATAATGTTGTTTTAATATTTATATTTTAGAGATAGGGATATTCAAGTTCGTCTATGCTATATTAGTTAAGTAAATGAAAAATGTTTAAAAAAATAATTGGAGCTCAGAGTTTTATTATTGTAAGTTATATTAATAATAAGTATTATAATCAGTTTAATCAGTCAGTACAATCAGTGGGCTAAGTACAGAAAATAATAAGTTTATTTATTTTCTGTACTTAGCCCACTGTAGTACTTTTGTAACTCTGCATCAAAGTGTTCTCGATCGACAAAACTAGTATTGCTCACTGATTGTTCGTTTATTTCTACCACTACAGACTCCATTTCACTCATCATAAATAAAATCACGCGTTATAATAAGAATTATTACCAAACAAAACAACAATTGCTAATTTTACTACTGTAAATAAAGATAATAGATAGATTTATTTACGTTTAAACCGGTAATGGCGGCGGCCGGGTGGCGGGGAGCGGTATAAAAGCACGTGAGTCTTTTAACCAATCAACGTGCACCTTGCCTTTGTCGGATGATTTAACGGCAAGACGCCGTAAATTAATCAACTTACTAAAATACATACGTTAAATAGTACATTTCAAATGCCGTTTATTATTTTCCGAGAGTTGATCAACTACCTAGAAAATTGATCAACTTACGAGTCTTGTTATTTTCCGGTGACATGTATAACGAATCCCGCGCGCAAACGCGTTGTCAGTGTGTTGTGCTGCGCGTGTTTTCTATACAAACTGAGGTAAGTACCTCTGCAAGTATGCAAGTGCATATAATGATTAAATCTGTCGTCTCGCGTACCGCGGCGGAGCGCGGTGCAGTGTGATAATCGCCTTAGGATAGCAGCTGAGATTCTCAAATCGTATTTCAAAGCTTTGAATCAGCGAGGGAGTGGTCTGTAATATCAGTTAGTGCATCTGCAGTAGGGTCAAGGAGGCAACAGTGACTCGGTCGGCTACAGTGGCTCAGTCATGTTTCGACCTGAAGGCATAGGAATATATATTTGTCTCTTTTACCGATTCAAAGGTCTTTGTACCCGAACACGTTTAAACCAGTTTGCTCGCCGGTCAAGTGCCGTGCGGAAGGGTGAGGGAATGTTTTTTGTTTTCGCGCCCTCTAAATTACATTCTAAGGTGAGTTTCGATTGTTTTCATATCTTTGTTTGTTGCTATAGGTAATAGCCGTTATATTTATCGGATAGTAGGTCTTGTATCAATTGTCTTTAATCCGAATTTTGACTAATTTGTTTTACATCTTGGTTTTTTTGATCAAATATTTACAAAATGGCGTAGAAGTACACAGTGACTCAATTTTAATACTTTATACGAATTCAATATTTTATAACTGTAAATCGAATTTTGTTTTTTATTAAATATTGCGTATAAAAAAGTTCATCCCCAATTTTCCACCCTTGGGGGTGAAATATTTTCTTCAAATTCGCATGAAACCACCCTTTTGATAATACCTATTCAACAAAAAAATAATCGTTCAAATTGGTTTATAATCGGCGGAGATATTGCGTATAAAAAAGTTCATCCCCAATTTTCCACCCTTGGGGGTTGTTTTTTTATTATTAAATTTAAATGGGACCACCCTTGAGGTATTAACTATACGCCGAAAAAAGATTTGTTCAAATCGGTTCATAATTGGCGGAGTTATCGCGTAACAAACATAGAAAAAAAAAAACATACGGGTCGAATTGAGAACCTCCTCCTTTTTTGAAGTCGGTTGAAAATGGAAGTCGACTTACTAACGCTCTTAATATGGTTTAATAATGAAATGAGATATTTTCTTCGCTTTGGTTTATTATACGATTCTTCATCTACGAACAACTTCTCTAGTAATTTCACATCTTAAGCATAAATTTGTGTCTTTAAATAATTTATTACAGGAACTTAAGCATGATGCTTAATTATTTCTCTCACACACATCACATTAATTTTATATGAATGGAATTAACTCAATTCGGTAAAATTTTCACCGCACAGCATTTATGTAATTTAATCTGCCATAAAATATTTAAATTATCATTCGAGAGATTAAGCGTTAATTGCGCATATTCCGGAAAGGATCGTGGATCTTGCCACTTAATGTTAGGTACCTACCTACTTAATGTAGCTGTAAGGGACCAAACAACTGTTTAACTACACATGGTATGCAATAAAGACGTATTAAGTATCGAAAAAACATTGATAATAATGATAAATCTGACCGTACAGGCTTAAATTACTTAGGCTATGTTGCACTATGTTACTTTAACTTTGACAAACGTCAAAAATTCTGTCAAACTCAATACAAAAACACCGGTTATAGTTATAGTTACGGTTAAAGTTGGTGGTGCAACTCAGCCTTAAAAAATCATTAATATTATCTAGCAATAATTAAAATAAAATCTTTATTTATAATAGTCAGGCTTTGTAGCCTT